TATATATATATATATATATATATATATATATATATATATATATAATATATTATATATAATTATATATATATATATATATATATATATATATATATATATATATATATATATATATATATATATATATATATATATATATATATATATATATATATATATATATATATATATATATATATATATATATATATATATATATATATATATATATATATATATATATATATATATATATATATATATACAGTTGTGGACGAAATTATTCAGCCCTACCTCCATAATTACAAATAAAGCTGAAATACCTTAAATTTTCATGGAAGATTCATGTGCATTTCTTCACAGATGATGAAATAATGGATTTGCAAGAATGTCAGTGATGCCCACAACACAATTTTTATTTTAATGTCAAACCATAATACAAAAAAAAAGAAAAAAAAAACACAAAAAACATTTAACATAGGACAAAATTATTGGCCCTCTTGCAACAATAATCAATTGTGTAAACTTTATTCTTGATTATTGCCTTTATTCATTTTTAATAGTTCCTTACAAGATTACTACACACACTGATAGACATTTTGCTCCCTTCTTCCTTGGCAATAGCTTCTAGTCCTCCCAAAGTCAAAGAACTTCTTTCTCTTCTTTCTCTTTTCTTCAAGTATGCCCATAAATTTTCAATGGGGTTTACGACAAGACTTTGTGCGGGGTACGCCAATACATTAATTTTGCTGTCATCTAAGTATTTTCTAACAAGTTGTGCCGTGTTTTTTGGGTCATTGTCATGTTAGAACGTCCAGTGATGTCCTAAAGACGGCTTTTGTGCCCTTTCTTTTATATTATTTTTAAGTATAGCTAAATACTGCTCGTTATCCACTATACCCTGTACTCTCACTAGTTCTCCTGGTCCAGAAGCAGCAAAACATCCCCAGAGCAGAACATTCCCATTACCGTGCTTAATTATAGGAAGGGTATTTTTGGTTTATGAGATTCATTCACTTTCTTCGATAAATTACGGGAGTTCATGTGATCAAATGTTTCTAGTTTGGTTTCATCGGACCATAAAACAGAATTCCAATATTTACTTCCATGTTCTAGATACCTTTTTAGCATAAGCTAATCTGCATTTTAGGCGGTTAGCCTTAAACAAGAGAGTTTTCCTTGCTCGATGAAAGATTCTAGTGACAGTTTTCTTCAATACATTCAATCCTGATATCTTTATATCATTGTCATTAAGTGAGGATTATTTGAGACATTTCTAATAATTTTCCTTATTCTCTCAGAAATTAACCATTTTCTGCCAGTCCTTAATTCTTTCTCAACACAATGATTCTCGTTTTACTTCTTGATAATTCTACGAAATGTCGATCTATGAACATTTAAATGCTTGGAAAGTGTTTTATATCCATCACCTTGTTTGTACGCATCAAATGTCTTCATTCTGAGATGGTTGTCAAGTTCATCCGCCTTCACCATAGTTGCAGAACGAATGAGTTATCGGGGTACATGGTACTCACATATTGTCTTCTTCATTACGTTTCAGAATGTTTATAGTATCAGGTCAACACAATTGCCATAGAGCAATATTATTTCATAATTTCCATAAGGGGCGAATAATTTTGGACTGCACCAATTTTTGAAAAATCTATGAATATAATAGATTGAAACTTTTTAATAATCGCTTGCAATATAGTGTTTTTTTTATCGCCTTACTTGGGACAAAATAGTAAAAATAAAATGTCGGACTTCAGAGGGAAGGATCTCTTTCCCAGCCCTCCTTAGTCAGCTGTTGATGTGAATCAATCCAACAAGTAGAGACTGTGACCTTAAATCGTCGTATTTGGCTAGCAAATAGGGTGAAGAGTAGTGTTGGATCTGTTTCTTTCGTTCGTTCTTTCCATCTATTCTTTCTTTGAATTTTGTTTGTTTCTTCCCAACTGTGTTTCCTTCCTAACTATATTGAAATTATTCCTGATACTAACCTTTGATAGGCTGTGCGCGGAACTTGGAATCAACGAGCCGAGTTCATTTATTTCCTGCCAATGCCCTTGGACACTTCGTGTGGGGGTAATGGTTATCGAGCTAATCTTTTGACCATTAGCAATGAGTTCTGATCCTTACTGGAGGTTTCATGCATATGGCCTTGTTCCAGAATTAAGCCAAGCATAGTAAATAACAGTAATGTCGTTGGAAAAAGCATAAATCTATTTCTTTTCACTAGGTACCTCCACAGATTCGCGATACTTAAGTTTTAAAATGAATTTTTAAAAATCTTTCTTGAAGTTTTTATTTCAGTTTTAATTTCCAGCTAATAGATTAAATTTAATATTTCCAATAAGCAAAATACTGTATTTCAAAACTAATTTAAATGGACTGGAAGAAGTTTTTTGTTTTGAAATCGCTAAAACCACTGATTCTACCACCATTTTTAGTGTCATCACAATGTAATTCATTTTATTAAAAATCTTTCAAAAATAAAATATACTCTTCTGAAACTTTATTTGAGGAATATTAGCTGATTTAAAGTTTAATTAATATGATTTAAAACAAATATTAAATCAATTTAAGTTTAAAATATCGCAGTAATGCATTTTTAACACCAAAAGTAATAAAAATCTTGTAGATATTAACCCATTGAAGTTGATATGCCGTAAAACGAAACAAAGCATTATTATTTCCTATTTCTGGCTTTAAATAACCTGCAAAATGCAGTTAAGCTGTAGAAAACGAATGAATAAAAACAATGTTTATTTAATTGTTTTTAATTGAACATTTCCAGTTCTCTTTCTTTATTCGTTCAATTATTACCTATATTGGTTGAATTTTCAAGTTTTTCTTTGTTTCTTTTTTCATAGCCCAGAATTGTCCCTCTGGACGTTTGGGTCCCAATTGTTCTTTCCAATGTCACTGCTTAAATGGGGACGGTGTTTGTAAGGACGATGGCTGTACGGATTTACAATGTGATTTTGGGTGGACTGCGCCCCCCAAATGTCAAACACGTAAGTGTAAAATAATTTCCATTTTGTTTCATTTAATCACTCGTGGTCACCTTGAGTTAACAATTTAGTTTCGCATGCCTTTGACAGAGAGTTCGATCCTGATTTGATATCACACGATTGTAGTCATTTTTCAGGCTATAATGAATTTGCTAAATTAGCCGACTACTCGGCTTACAGGCATAGAAAAGTAAGTTGTAACAGGACTTTTATCCATCGAAAATATCTGTATAAACAACATTTTCAGCAAGGCATATATTTTCTAAAGCCATTTTTGTTATAGTTCAATTGAATTTCCTACTCTGAACATAGCTACATAGAGCTGACCATGAGTGAAACATCCTATTATAATTGTTCTTGTTCCCTCACCTTCTTTACTTCGCAGGACCGTTACGCCCCACCAATACTTCATAAATAATCGACTATTTCGTTTTGATCGTGCAGAAAGAGGAGAAAAGACACTACTTGGTTTCAGTGAGAAAATGAAAAAAACAAAGAAAGAAGGGAAGATATAAGTGTTCAGCGTCACCTGCCAATACCCTGTAAATAATGGACTATTCTGTTTTGATCGCGCGGAAAAGAGATTATTCGGCTTCGGTGAGAAAATGGAAAAAAATAAAGAAAGAAAGGAAGATAAAAGTATTTAGCGTCTCCTGTAAATACCTCATAAATAATGGACTATTCCATTTTGATTGCGGGGGAAAAACAAAACACATAGAGAAGTTACTTGGTTTCAGTGAGAAAATGAATGAATGAATGAAAGAAAGAAAAAAGAAAGAAAGAAAGAAAGAAAAAAGAAAGAAAGAAAGAAAAAAGAAAGAAAGAAAGAAAGAAAGAAAGAAAGAAATGTTTAACGGTTGTTTCAGTGAAATGGAAAAAGTTGACAATTTCAAATTTTTTTTCCACTTCTTAAAATAACGACCAGCATTCATATTTATGATTGTTATTGCAATATTTTGTTAAAGTTTTTAAGCTCAAATATTCAACGATGGGTTAGGGAAACTTCTGTGGATATTTTATTGTTGTAGAACTCGCCATAAGTTTCTTCAATCATTAACTTCAGAATTAAGATTCATCAATTTTCACGGTTTTTTCTAGTCTGAATAATTTCTAATGTTGAAATAATAATAATGATGTTCCTGTTATAATTATGCTTACCTCTCATTACAGTAGTTCGCACAATCGTTACGCCCCGTCAATGCCTCATAAATAATATACTGTTTTGTTCGCGTGGAAAGAGAGGAAAACTCATTACTTGGTTTCAGTAATAAAATGAAAGAAGAGAAGACAGAAGTGGAGAAATAGAATCTAAGCTGATAGAACAGATACTACACTTTGATCTTAGCCAAAAGGCCGAGAAGCCATTGTATTTACTTGACGGCCCACCATTGGAAGGTTGTGACCAGGTCCAAAAATAGACCAGCCTCCGCAACCGCAGGCCGAGAAGCTATGGCAACCGCGATAAACGCGACATTTTTAAACAAAAAGTATAGAACAGAAACCGTGTAAGGAAATCGCCAAAAATCCAGTTACCATAAATAATTTAATATAGTCTGCTGAATTATTTAAAAATTATTATTAAGAGAAAAATTCGTAAGACGGGGATTTGTCTAGTAATATTCGATTCAGCAAACTAGTTAGCAATATATATATATATATATATATATATATATATATATATATATATATATATATATATGTATGTATGTATATAAATAATCATACATAGAATCAATCAATTATATTAATATGTTTAACTAGCGAAATCATTTCGCTATTAAACATATTATTATAATGATTGATTCTATGTATGATTATTTTTTATATATAAAATGTATGTTGCCTAATATTATATATATATATATATATATATATATATATATATATATATATGTATATATATATATATATCAGGCTGATAGTTGATTTGTTACATGTTAGCGGTATGTGTACAATTGTGTTCTACTGATGTAAGGTGGGGGGGAGGGAACACATAAAACTACGCGAATGCATAAAACATCTACGATAAATTGTGAATGATGGAGAATATGAGATCTTTTTTCTTTTTGTACAGCTTGCCCGGCCAATAAGTTCGGTTTGTATTGTTTCTATCAATGCCATTGTTCAGGGGATGACCAATGCCACAAGATAAATGGTAACTGTCCGTCTGAGAGATGTCATCCAGAATGGGATGGACCAGCATGTCAACAGAGTAAGTTGCAGTTAGTTTTTCCTGCATCATATCTACCGATTATTTTTTTTGTTTTGAAGGCTGTCACTGTCGTCATCTTTCAGTTATTCATTTCATAAATTATAAAAAATAGGCGCATGCGCACACATGCACACACACTGTTTAAAAAATGAAAAAAAAATCCCCCCCCCAAAAAAACGGGATAGTAACTCAAACACGTGTGTCTACTACAAATAACGTTTATAGTAATGAAAATTATATATTATTATATATATTAAAGTAATTCATCGAGTCTAAAAGAATCCTCAACAGAATGCAGAAAGCACTGGACGGTCATTTCGTTCTATTTTGGGACTCGTCAACAGTGCGAATCCACAACCGAGAATCGAACCTGGACCGTTACGCAAGCGTCATACCCGATGGACCAACGGTCCTCGGTGACATGGAGGTGACTAACTAGACTCGATATAGCGCCGCTACTCACTAAAATCCGTCGTAAACTCGTCCAAGTATACTTTAACTCGACTTGTACCCCCAAGAGCCCCGTCCTCTTTCCGTGTCGCTTCCACCAGAGCATTAGAAGCAAGGATCAAACAAGGATATTTTTATCACTCATATATATATATATATATATATATATATATATATATATATTTCCTTTATACCCTCTCTTCTCGGGACTGTACTGTATTAGACATAACAACTGGCAGTATAGCCAAGCACTTTCTCTCTATCCATCGGCGAACATCTTTGTCGTCGGTGACTTTAAGGCTCGCCACGACACGTGCCTTAAACATTCTAAAGGTACTGATGTTGACGGTGTTCAGACATTAAATTTTTCCATTGTTAAATCGTAGACTTCCTACTCGTTTCCCTAGTGAAACCAATCTTCTCTACCTTATTTATTTTTATTCTTTCCTCACTCTTCATAGCACTTGGTAATTCTGACCATTCCGTGATAGCTATTGACATTTCGTTCCAATCATCTATTAAATAGGTACCCCCTATCCACAAGACCTCTTTCCGTTACCAGCATACTGATTGGGACTCTGAGGTTTCTTCTTGATTCAAAGCCGGCATGGATGCTTTCATCCCTTCTTGGAAATCCCAGGTGAAACCTCAATCCTTTCCATGGTTCACCCCATCATGCTCGTCCGCAATAGCACGCAGGAACCACTATTTTCGGCTATACCAGCATGACGGCTCTCGTCGCAACAGGCGCCTATTCGTTGCCAATAAATATAAGCGAGTCTTCGAAGGGGCAAAATCCCTGTTTGACGAGAGAATGTGGTATCGTATAGCCTCTAATAACTTTGACTCTCGTGATTACTAGCGGCTCTGTAATTGGGTATTAAATAAATGTAAAGTCTCTATTCCTCCTCTCTTCAATCAATGAGGTGTTATCATCCTCTGCTGATAAAGCTGAATGCTTTGCCCGTAAATTCTCTACCCTGACTCATCCGGAATATTCTTGTCTAACTTCCTTCCTAGAACTGAGTTTCTGTTTAGTGAAGTGCATATAAACCCTTCCATGGTTTTTGCTATCATCTCTAACCTAGAACCCTACAAAGCATGTGGACCCGACGGTATCCCTGTAATAGTCTTTAAGAAATGTGCTCCCGAGCTGGTTCCCGTTCTCTCTAAACTGTATAATAAATGTCTCCCGCTTTCCTGTCTGCTGGAGGTCATCACCTGGTGTTTCATTTATTAAGAACTCTGGCGAAACGTCCAAAAAGGAAATAATTCTGAATTGCCGTCTTTGACTATTTTTCTCTATCGGAAGAAACATATGATATACGACAATTTAATAACTCTTAAATTCAAAATAATTAAATTTCAATTAGATATTTTATGACATCAAGCAGTGATGAAAATAATAAAAAATAAAACCATTGTATTAAACTAAAAAGTATCATTTTACTAAAATAAAAATACTTCTAATGTAGTATAAAAAATGAAATTAGTCATTCTAGTAAGTTTCACTAAATCGTAAAGAAAAATGATATTCTTAAACTATTGGTTACACAAGGTTAAAGACAATTTAATTTTAAACATAAATACTAATTTCTTGATTATGTCGCTACTGGTGTTCCGTATTTATTTTAATTTTTCCGCAAGCTTGTTAAGAAAGTGATAGAAAGAGATGTTTATAAGTGTTGACTTCTCACCTTACTATGTGTAAATAAACATTATTTTCGTTAAGTTTTAGATTAAAAAAAATAAGCATTACGTTTACCGAATCCAATTAAAACTTAAATTTACTAAGCGACTTCGAAACACATCTCTCGGAAAAAATATTGTAAGAGATTTTAAAAATTGTTTGTTTAGATTTTTCGTTTATAATGGCGATTCGTTAAGTTACGATCGAACGTGGCAATGTTTTAAACATGCCTAAAATCTTTATTTGCACACGGATATTAATTTTCCTTTAATTCGGATTAGCTTTACTTTTCAAATAAAATTGAAATGTATGTTCAAAGAAGGCCTTTAAATTATTTAAAACGCATTTTCGGTTATTTTAGGATGTCCACGGCGTCACGAAGATTAAAGTAATTTTGGGAGATAAAGAAGAGAGTTAAAGAGAGTCCAATAGATTCCCGAGGATAGATAAAGAAGAGAGTACAATTGACTTATTAAAATAGATAAAAAGAGAGTACAATAGATTCGAGAAGAGAGATAAAGGAAGAGAGTACAAAAAATTATGAAGATAGATAAAGAAGCAAGTACACTAGATTCATGAAGAGGGATACATAAGAGAGTACAATAGATTCATGAAGAGACACAAAGAAGAGAGTACAGTAGATTCATTAAGAGAGATAAAGAAGAGAGTACAATAGTTTCATGAAGAGAGATAAAAAAGAGAGTACAATATATTATGAAAAGAGATAAAGAAGAGAGTACAAAAGATATATGAAGATGAAGAGGAGCGTACAAAAGATTCATTAAGAAAGATACATAAGAGAGTACAATAGATTCATGAAGAAAGATAAAGAGAGTACAGTAGTAGATTCATTAACAGAGATAAAGAAGAGAGTACAATAGATTTTTAAAAGAGATAAAGAAGAGAAAACGATAGATTTATGAAATGAGATAAAGAAGCGAGTACAATAAATTCATGAAGAATGATAAAGAAGAGAGTACAGTCGATTTACGAAGAGTAATAAAGAAGAGAGTACAATAGTTTCCTGAAGGGAGATAGAAAAAGAGAGTACAATAGATGCATGAAGAGAGATAAAGAAGAGAGTACAAGAGATTTATAAATATTCCAAAATCTTTTTCTATTATCTACAGAACAATATGAATTTTACCGAATTTTTTTTATTATTTATTTTTGTCTCTGTGAATTTGATTATTTTATCTAATTCTTTTTCGACAGGACTCGCTCGCCTTTTCCACCCACCCACTGTTAACGTTCATGGCTGTCAGAATGTGACAGTTTCGTGGAATGCATGGACACATAATGTCGACGTTGGAGTGACAAGGATAAGTGCCTATATGTACGTGATTATTTACGTGAATTTTTATTTTTATTTTTAAACAAGTCCATTCCAAGCAAGGTAGTAAAGCCACTAAGACACAAGGGTTAACAGGGTTTGGAAGAATTACAAACAAACATTACTGTTATGGGGTCCACCCTTTTCGGATATAATGGACTCGTCCTGCTGCCATAAAATAGACACAGTCAGGCAGAGAAGATGAGTCGTACCGGAGTCGTACCGGAGTCGTACAAGAGTCGTACCGGAGTCGTATGGTAGTCGACAGTGAGTGTCGGTAGTCCGATAGAGTGAGGTACCCTCTTGTAGAAGTCAGTTACAAGCACGTAGACTCTAAGGAAGTCCTACTTCGAGACTGTATATATCTATTTGTATTTGCTACTAACCGTGTTTCTGGATTTTACTAACAGCATTACCTTTTGTATTTTGTGTAAATACATTTAATTTCTTAGCTTAAATACTTGCGTTTGTCATTTATTGGATACCTATTTTTCACGCGGGATCCACAACAATTACTAAGGAGCAAGGACAAAAGAAGAGTAATCAAGAGGGCAATAGTTAACGATTGACATTGCATTTAAATTTTTGTAGATTAAAGTTGGCTGGAAAGCTTGGAACAGGAAGAGAGTTCCGCAAGCAAGAAATTCGAGAAAAAAAAAAACTCTTAGCATAGAATTTACGACTACATCTATCCAACTCAGCTGTCAATTGATGAGATCTCGACGCCAAAAAGGCATATTGGGATAACCAACGAAGCATTCCAAAAGCTAAGCAGAGTAATAAGAAATAGGAAAATTTCGCGAGAAACAATGAAAAGAGCACTAAACTGTTACATAGTATCTGTCCTCCTGTATAGCAGTGAGTGCTGGATGATCTTATCCAAGACGAAGAAGAGACTTGAAGCAACAGAAATATGGTTCTACAGAAGGGTGCTAAGGATACCGTAGACCGAACATGTGAATAACGACGAAGCTTTGGTGAAAAATAGAAACAAAAAAGGAAACTAATATTTAACACCAGGAAGAGACAGTTGCGGTTTCTATGGTATATAATGAGGAAGGAGGGCTTGGAAAATCTGATACTCACTGGACAGATAAAGGGCAAGTGGGACTGAGGAAAAGAACGCATAGCATACTTGATGAGCTTGAATAAATGAATAACGTAACAAGGCTTCGAAGAAATAACAGAAAGACAAAGGTTATAAATAGCTGAAGTTGTGGAGAGCCATGACCGCCTATGTTCTGAGAGGAAACAGAACATAATGTAGATATATATTACCCAAGATAATGTTTGTGTAATAAAAATTAATTAATTTTACTATCATTTTTTTAACTCGTGGTCATTTTAAAATTGCTCATTCTTTCATTTCTTAGAATGAATTGTGAACAAGTTACATTAATAGAGTAATGTAAACGGAGAAGACCCTTGCTTCCGTATATCAGTCCCTGTGACAGTTGTGTGCTCAGACACGGAGAATGTGGAAGAACCGAGTGAAAGAAAGCTGAGTGCCTAAGGCTGAGCGTGTGAGAAAAATTGAAAAAAAAAAGTCAAATAAACGAAGTAGCCTTAACTGCTGCTTCGTGTTCTCAACATGAAGATAGATTGAGGAATCGGTTTTTATTTCCATGACTAAAGACCTTTTAAAAAAGAAAAGGGTATTTATTTGTGGATTTTATAATTTTCTCATATATATATATATATATATGATGATCACAAAAGCATGAAACACAGGGTCGCAAACTCATATCCATAAAATGAATATATATATATATATATATATATATATATATATATATCTGATGATCGCAAAAGCGTGAAACCCAGGGTCGTAAACTTATATCCATACAAATTAATATATATATATATATATATATATATATCGTTTTATATCGTTTTAGTGGGTTCTACAGAGAACTCATCAGTAAATATAGATACTACTACATATATATATCTATATATATATATATATATATATATATATATATATATATATATATATATATATATATATATATATATATATCTGATGATCGCAAAAGCGTGAAACCTAGGGTCGCAAACTTATATCCATACAAATGAATATATATAAACTTCAATCTTCCATTTGATACGCCAGAGCAGTTATGAATGTACGAGATTCATGGAAGATTGAAGTTTATAAGCAGTAAATTCGACCTTGCCTACCGAACGCTTCTTTGTGGCCGAGAGGTTAGGCACGTCAGCGTAAATGACGGTTCCGTATAGGATGTCAAAGGACGAATATTTTCTATGAAAAATTTCTCGGACATTCAGGCCGGTAAATGTTATTTAATACTGTTTATTATTAAAAACAGAGCATTTACTTAAATACTTGTATCTATAAAAAAGAACGTTAAACATAAAAATGTCTTTAATAAATATATATATATATATATATATATATATATATATATATGCGAGCGTGTACTAGTATCTCTATTTACTGATGAGTTCTCTGTAGAACCCACTAAAACGATACAGAATGAGTGCAAATTCAAAGTACTAATCATACGTGGCAGTTAAAAAATAAATTTGGAGTAGACTAACATACCTAAGATTTCGCATGACAGTGGCAGCGTACACGTTGGATTAAAGGAATCTAAGACAAGGTCGCATACAGTAAGAATAACACAGGAAAGAAATTTGGAACTCGTTGGGTCTGTTCTACCCAAACCGATAGAGTCACCTGTCCTTGCACCAACTAATTATTAACATTTTTTTGATCGCTGTTAAACAATTTGACAAGAGAAATTTTCTCTAATGAAAACCATATTCAAGAGTCCGTCGAAAACCTTTTCATATTAAATTAAATAAAAAAAAGAAAGAAACAGACAAAGAGAAAACGGCACAATAACACGAACTGTTATGTGAATATGCGAAGACGCAATATTTGGCAATGATGAAACCGATATAGCGCAAAAACAAAACTCTTTGATAATGTTTAAAAGTTAGACGGTTTATATCTAAATATATACCGGAAATCTTTGGGCACCTTGAAGCTGTGTAATGGTTAGCAAACCTATTTCGCTAGATTAATTACGACTGAGTAGTGAGTTCGACCCTCACTGGTTGCCTCCTATTTTCGGCCTTGTGCCACATCTAAGCTACACTTGGAAAATCACCACTATTCTTAAAGTACTTTCCTTAGTCTTTAACCAGATGGAGAGGAGGCAAACAGACAGAAACAAACTACAAATACCAAAGTTATTCTCTTGAGCATTACTGCTATTGCGTCCTTAAGCTGAGTAATCACTATTGTTAGGGAATAGATCTGGTCGATCTTTTTTTATTATCATAGCTGAATTGTTGTGGATTGTTAAATTATGTCAATTTAGTGTACAGACTTACAATGGATCACAATACGATACTTCATTATTATGCATCTTAACCTGACCGAACGAGTATTTCTTTCCGATGATATATTTTTAGACATTACTTCTTATTTCATTCCCCATTCACATGACTAGGAATTTAAATAAATAATGTCTGATTCAATCTTTATGCAGATATTTTATGTTAGCTGAAAAGGGAATTCGTTTTAGATGTATTGTTTTCAAACTGGAAAAGATGACCAAATTTCATTTGTTTCAATGCATAGCAACCAAATAAACATCGATGTTAACACAAAATGTGTCTGTTTGGTAGGTAAAATACGTCAAATAAATCAATAAGTAAGTAACCAAATGATAAAAAAACACATTTATTTACATGAAAATTATAATATTGATTTTTCAACATAATCTCATTCTTTGTCAGTGCCCTTAATTCATCAGGGGACAATAATTACATAAAAAAACAATAAATATAAATTGTTCTTTTGTTATTCTTTTAGTCCCAGTGGCTTTATTGCCTTGCTTGGAGTGAAATGACTGAAAAATGTACATTTCAGATCAAAATTCAGCTAATAGCTACGTATGAAGTTACGGATTTATAGATTCTGTTCTGGTTGGCATTAATCGCACACGCGGGCAGGCACATAAACACTAAAAATAAATAAGTAAAGCGTTACTATATGATTATTCTAATTCCTCAAAATTCTTTCACTTGTATATCCTTGCTTGACCCAGCTAATGCTCTGCGATGGAGCGGCTAAAGGGGAAAGGAAAGGCGTTGATCTTGGGGCACAGCCCGCTGGGCTATGAATATCTGGATGAGTATAACCATGGAATTTGTGAGTAGCGGCGCTATATCGTGTGTATTCTGTATCTTCTTCGTCACCGAGGCCCGCTAGTACAGCTGGTATGACGGTCCGGAATTGATTCTCGGTAGTGGATGCCTACTGCTGATGAGCCCCAAATAGGATAAAACGATCGTCCAGTGCTTTCTGCATTCTGTTGAGGATTCTTCTAGACTCGATGAATTAATATATATATATATATATATATATATATATATATATATATATATATATTATATAAATTAACTGATTTAAAAATATGGTTTCATCGCTACACAGGAATTACCATGTTTCAAAAACAGAAAACTAACAACATCAAATTCAATTATATAATTAAATTAAAAGCACTAGTTTTGTTTCATTTTCAAGCAAATTTTGGAATTTCAAAATGGTAATTGAAACATGGTAATTCCTGTGTAGCGACGGAACCATATTTTTAAATCAATTAGTTTATAATATTTATGGTCTGTAAATTTACATTAAAATTATCAATAAGAACAACGGATTATATATCTTACTGTTCTTTCTTTCTTTACTTTAATATATATATATATATATATATATATATATATATATATATATATATATATATATATATATATATATATATAGATAGATAGATAGAGATAGATAGATAGATAGATAGACGGTGTTTGTTTATGAGAAATAAATAATGCTTTTGCTCCCTTGTTTTCTGTTTAGCAGCAACTTTAGTTTATATAGGACTTCATATTATTATGAGGCAAGAATGAGAAATAAAGGACAAACAAAAAATGAGACAGAACCTTGTTACGACTGATGGACCGTCTCCAATCGTGTGAGTTGTGGTACTATAAATAGTTGGAAAATGCAACGAAAAGGTGAGTGCGATTCTTTCAGAGTCGACTGTATATACGGCTCACCAAACTCTTTTGGCTGAAATGACACCAGGCGTTACGAGTTCGTTTTCGGTCATGTCACGTTACACGATACAGGACTCCGTACTTAACCTCAGTCATAATTAATGAAGACTTCCATTACAAATCCTTATCGAAAAAGTACAGGCAACTGAAGTAAATGTCTTTCCTTAAACATAGTTAAATACACTGAAGAAAGAAAAAAAAGAAAAAGAAAAAAAAAGAAAAAGAAAAAAAAAGCGAAATTACCAAAACCTATTCTAATATTAATTGACTGATTTATTCTTTTATTTTGTGTAACAGACTGAAAATCCGTCGTCGGGGTAACCAGCAATGGCGGGATGTTGTCGTCACAAATGGCACTTCAAATTTTACTGAGAAAATACCCGGTTTAGAGAAGAATGGTGTTTACCAGTTTCGAGTCGATATTTTATCCAGGAACGAAAAAACAAACATCACCGGTCCTCCAGGAGTTCCGACTGCATTTGTCCACGTGCCTTGCATAAGTAAGCGAACCTTAAAATAACCATATTTCATCTATCTCCCAGGAAGCATTTCATCATTGCAGTAAGATGATTCGTGTGGCGCAAAAATCCAATCGAACTTCTGGAAAAACGATTATACGAAAGTGTGAGAAGTCCTTAGATTAAAAATCAACTTCGTGTTACATATTGTCCTATTGAGGAGGCAACTTTTCTTAATTCCTTTTCTTTTTTTTATACTAATCTCCACCCCCCACACACAAGACTCAAAGGCCACTCCAGGCAGAGAGAGTTAATGAATGAAGTTGTTTGAGTGAACCAATTTTCATAGCAGCAGAACTAGCAACTGATTTAATATAATCACTCCACTTCATGTAGAAAACGTGAGCCCAAGAAACCGTAAAGAGTTGCTCTCCTAAGAGGTTAGCAACAGCCATATTGAAGGAAGGTAGAAAATATTCTTAACAAAAGGAGAACACATTTTAAGGAATAGGTCTGCTCGAGCTTCTTCTTATAATTATCATAGCTGAATTGTTGTGGATTGTTAAATTATGTCAATTTAATGTACAGACTTACAATGACTTTTTTCTTTTGACTAGTATCGGTTTTCACCCTGGTCGTGTTGAACCGGCTTCCTCCCGAGCAAATACAGCATCACGGACCATCGCTGCCCACGCTCGCCGATCCTGAGCCAGGTCACACGAAATGGCGAGCCAATCGCGATTCCATCGTCGAAGACCAACTACTTGTGGACCCGATAGTACTGCTAGGTCATCCTTGATTGTGCTAGCCCACGTCTTCAGCTGTCCACCGACACGTTTTCGCCAGCCAGGAAGAGAAGGAGGGAGAAGTACATCGCGGATGAGCTCTCCTTCCGGGCGTCGAGCTGCGTGCCCGAACCATCGGAGACGACGCCGGAGCAGGACGGGTGGAAGAGGACGGAGACTCAGGCGACGACGTAGAGTGGCTGTGGAAGTATTGTATTAACTTGTGATCCATTGTATGTCTCTCGTACAGAGTTACAATGGATCACAAGTTAATACAATACTTCATTATTATGCATCTTAACTTGACCGAGTGATTATTTCTTCCCGAGTCTATATTATATTATATTATATTATATTATACAATATATTATTATTATTATGTTATCTGTTCATTATTATTATTGTTATTATTGAATGAGAAAATAGCATGACCCAAAAGTGACGCTGAAGCACAAATATAAAACACCCAATATACCCATCAAGGCATTTAGTTTGATAAATGTATATAAGACACGCACACCTCAATCTAGGGCTTGTTTACGGCCATATGACATTGAAACCCCGGTTTCCGTATGTTCACTGGTTAAGCAACGTCTAGCCCGTCCAGTACCTAGATGGGTGACCGCTTGGGAATAACAGATGTTCTCAGCTTGGATGTGCAGGTGGTGTAATGGATAATGGCTTGAAATTGTTAATCGGAGAGCCGAGTTTCAATCCCAGTTAGTTTCGTTATATTCACTTAAGCCGAACAAATGTAAATGGCGTAAATGAATCTCTTTATCTTTGAGCCATTTATCTATTCTTTTTCAGCTGTCTAAAAATTTATTTTTTGTTTCTAATTGTACACATTAATATACTTATTAACAAGGTATATATCGTACGTAATGTTATTTCTTTTTTTTTTTTCTTTTGCAGATTCTAACTTTATTCAGAAAATGACGGCGGAAAACGACGGAAAAATAACGTTTCAGATGGTGAACAGGGCCAATGGTATGGTGACCTATAATGAAACAGGAATTGGAGATTGTCTTAAAATCAACGGATCAACCAACACTCAGAATTTTCAAGATGTTGAAAAGGTGACACTTCCAACGCTACCATGGAAACGCTACCATGTCACTGTCGAAATATTTCATCCTTACCTTATCAAATATGTCCAGACAGTTCTTACGGCCGAAACAGGTAAATTTTTTGTCAAATTTTAATTAATATTTTAAAATTAATTTCGTCAAAAATTTACTGCCACGAGCAATGTAATAAGAAGGGTTTATTAACCCTTTGCCTGTCCATTTTCGTATTTCGTATTATCCAAACGTTCTTTGTTGTTTTCAGATTTATAGCAATTGCAAGGCAACTTAGCTTATTTGGCAAATAGAATGTGCTGCTGGTATATAGTGTTTCATATAATAAAAATTGTGCATCACATGTCATGCATAAAGCGTAGTGTAAATAACTTATGATTTGTACGTTTTTTATTATTTGAAACACTATATATCAGCAGCACATTCTATTTGACAAATAAGCTGAGTTTCCTTGCAATTGTTATAAATCTGAAAACAAGTAAACGTGCTGTGGTATGATGCACGAAATATTAGATTAGGCTTTTCCTCAAAGGTTCGGCTCAATAGTAGACTCTTTTCTTAAGCGTCCTTAGTTTTACTACTCTTTTAAAATCATGGCTCGTGTCCACCACGTGTAATGCATGGACATGGAAATGACATGTCCTGTCCATAGCATATGATGTGCAGGACAGGCAAAGAGTTAAATTATATCGTCAAAACTTTCCATTACTCTAATGGCCGCAAAAAAGAAATGATACTCTATTTTATGTTTTGTTTTCAGTTCCTACAGGCAAGGTTATCTATGTCTATAGTGACAAAATAACCTCGGATTCTGTAAGCCTCAGTTGGATAAAGCTTGACTGTTCCGAAAGGGGCGGGATTTTTGTCAGGTATGACGTCATATTAATGAAGTCAATTGATTCATCGGCACCTGATCTGAAGACGAGCACAACCCAGGAAATGATTACGATCGGGAGATTGGAGTCGTTCACCAACTACAGTGTTCGAGTTGCCTTTGTCAACCATCGTGGTGCTGGAAATATGAGCGATGAATTTAAGTTTAAAACAAAAGAATCAGGTAAGATGGATAAAGAAAATCAGGTGAGATAGATAGGAGAACGATGTTTTGGAAGATAAAGGAAGTCAGGTGAGATATATAGAAGAAATCGAATGAGATGTGTAGGAGGATAAAAGGCATCAAGTGAGATATATGAGAAATACCTGATTTCTCTTATATGTCTCACCTGATGCCTTTTATCCTCTTACATGATATATGAGAAATCAGGTGAGATATGTAGGAGGATAAAGGGCATCAGATGAGACATATAAGAGAAATCAGAGGAGATGTGTAGGAGAATAAAGGGCAACAGGTGAGATATATAGAAATCATGTAAGTGTGTAGTAATATAAAGAGAATTACGTTAAATATATGAAAAATAAGGTCAAATGTGTAGGAGCATAAATGGCACCAGGTGAGATATATGATTAATCAGATGAGATGCATAAGAGAGTAAAAGGCATCAGGTGAGATATGAGAAATCAGATGAGATGTAAAGGAGATAGTATCATAGATAAAAGTACTGTTCATAAATGATTTACTCTGTTCAGAAGTGGAAATTTTAATCTGGAAGAATGAGAACGTACCTACAGACCTGCCTCAAATGAGGATGACCAAATCACTGATTAAACGCTGATTAAAAATATTCCTAGGCATACGACACAGGGATTCTTATATGAGCGTTATGTTATTTGAAAATACTTGGATTTATGAATCGCTATTACGATGTTTGGTTGACTTACGATTTGATGGGGAAAAAATTAAGGGACATCGATTCTCTGCTCAGATGTGACAAAACGAGTAAATTTTGAAAGAAAAAGCAAAAATGATCACAAGAGATGAAGATCTTTTTTCTTTTTTTTTTTCAAAAATGCAAAGGGAAAAAGTTCATGGGAAAAATGGAATGACCATCATTAGCAGCTCTTAAAACCATTGGCAACTAACATTGTGGCTAAATCTGTAACAAGGACGACTGGCGAATTCAACAATTCAGTCTGTTGTATATAACAGCTGCGTGTACGACCAAACTTCGTAACCAAAAGATAAAACACATTCGCAAAGCATCCTATTATAATTGTGCTTGTCTCTCTTTTCCTTACACCCTGGAACGGACTATTCCGTTTTGATCGCGTGGAAAGAGGGGGGAAAGACGCTACTTGGTTTCAGTGAGAAAAAGAACGAAAGAAAGAAAGTAAGAAAGGGAAGATATGAGCGTTACACATCTCCTGCCAGTACCTCATAAATAATGAACTATTCCATTTTGATAGCGTGAAAAGAGGGGAAAAGGCACTACTTGATTTCAGTGAGAAAATGAATGAATGAAAGAAAGAAAAAAAAAAGGGAAGATAGAAGTGAAATGGAAAAAGTTGTCATTTCAAATCTTTTCATTTGTACCCACTTCTTAAAATTTTGATTGTTATTGCAATATTTTATGAAAGTTTTTTAGCACAAATATTTAACGATGCGATAGGACAATTTCTACAGTTTCATTATCGTAGAACTCGCCATGATCTTACTCAATCATTAAGTTTAGAATTAAGATTCATCAGAATATTAAAATAGGAAATCGGTGAAATTTTCACAGGTTAAAACTAGTCCTTTTTATTTGGTTACAAATTTAAAGTTGAAACACCTTCCGAAGTTTAGCGGCTGATAATGTGAATAGAACATTCGGCTACAGAGTAAAAAAGCTTGTCAAAAACATTAAAGTGATACTTATTCAAACCTAATGTCTCGTTGACATAACAAATAGTGTTGCGAATATTTAATGCGATAAAACAGTTTTGTGTTTCGTTTTTTCTTTTCGTTTTTTTCCTTTCCTTTCTTTTTATTTCTTGACATTCTGACATTTTTTTTTATCTTCTTTTTTCTTTCTTCATTTTCTTTCGTTTTCTATCATCTTTATTTTTTTTTATCTTTCATTGTTTTTATTCTGTTTTTTCTCTTTCTTTCATTTTTCTTCTTTTTTTTTTCTTCTTTCAGGTTTCTATTTTCCTTTTCTTCACTTTCTTTTTCCTTTCATTTTCCTTTTCTTCACTTTCTTTTTCCTTCATTTTCCTTTTCTTCACTTTCTTTTTCCTTCATTTTCCTTTTCTTCACTTTCTTTTTTCTTCATTTTCCTTTTCTTCACTTTCTTTTTTCTTCATTTTCCTTTTCTTCACTTTCTTTTTTCTTCATTTTCCTTTTCTTCACTTTCTTTTTTCTTCGTTTTCCTTTTCATTTTATTTTTTGTTTAACATTCGTTCTTTCTTTCTTTCGTTCTTTCTTTGTTTGTCATTCTTTACTTACATGCATTCTTTTTTTCTTACTTTCTCTTTCATTACTTTCTGTGCTTTTCTCTTTCTTTCATTCTTTCTTTATTTGTTTATTTCATTCTTTCCTTATTCTCTGATATGTTTTATGTTTTGTTATTTTATTGCTTATGCTTGAATAACTTGAATTACATATATATATATATATATATATATATATATATATATATATATATATTGATTTATTATTTGAATGACTACAATATTAATTAAGCTGCATTATTTAATATATATATGCACATATATATGTTTGTATGTGCATATACATATATATATATATATATATATATATATATATATATATATATATATATATATATAATAAATTAATTGATTTAAAATATGGTTTTAAAACCATATTTTAAATCAATTAATTTATAATATTAATGCTCTGTAAATTTACATTGAGCACTATTTTGTAAAAATAAAAATATCTATAAGAACACCGGATTATATATCTTACTGTTCTTTCTTTTTATTTATATACATACATATATATATATATATATATATATATATATATATATATATATATATATATATATATATATAAAGAAGAAGAGAGAGAGGTGCCGCAAACGTTTTTGGTTGTAATGTGGATTTATTTAGAAAAAATTTGGTCACAAACAGAGAATGTCTCATATCGAGAATATTTAACATTGAACATAAGGACAAAATTAATTATTTTTAATAATATGTGGAAATCTCCGCTTTTACCTGAAGACGGTCGCGAGACCAGAAACACGTGTCGTAAAATTATGTAAAACAAAGCATAATATTTTTTTTTTAAATAAATCCACATTACAACCAAAAAACGTTTGCGGCACCTCTCTTCTCTTTTTTAATATACATACTTTTCTCTCGTTGGAACCACTACAACATATTTATATTTATATATATATATATATATATATATATATATATATATATATATGCATATATATATATATACATGTGCGTATATATATGTGTGTGTGTGTGTGTGTGTGCGTGAGATTGTGTGTGTATCATAAAGGCAATTAGAAAATTTTCTTAGCATAATCCAAATAACTGTTGTCTCGTATAGTTCCAGATCCGCCTCAATTTGTGAAAATAGAATCTTCGATATACACAGTGAATATCACTTGGAAACCGAGTATAAACACACGCGGACATCTCCGGAAATATCAGGTGATATGCAGTGACAATATGCATTTCGACCGATCAATATCGATCACTAAAGCAGCATTGAAAACAACAAACGCAACTTTTATGAATTTGAATCCATTTACCGATTATTACATCAAAGTGAGTGTAAAAATATTGATATGGATTATATAATTATTTTTCATAACGTTCATGGTTCAATTTCTGTTACCATAGTGAGGCAACTCAGTGAGAAAAGATGATAGATCTGTGTCGTGTAACACAATTAGCTGCTGAGTAATTCTAATCCTGTATTATTGCATTATTGACCACCAATTGCAACGGATATTCAATCTTATTATCACATTAAATACTGTCGTGTGTAAAAAAACAAATACAATAGAGAACTGGAAGTTTTATTTTAATTTAAGTCTGGTTAGATTTCTTCTTTATAGATTTTTGATTGATTGATTTACGTTTACAGTTTAACCAAAAACCGAAACGTATTTTAGATTGTAAGAATAATTCTTTTTTTTTTTTAGAGTGAATATTGTATTAATATTTTTTTTTTAAATATTAATGATCATTGTAGAAGTGCTAATTTCATATTTTTCCAAAAAGTAATTTGCGCATAAGTGAATTAACGAGCTCGATTGGAATTCGAACTCGGCTCTCCGTTTTCTCACTCCGAACCACTTCCTTTACAGAAACAGGGCTAAAAAGAACTTTAGATCTCTCTTTTATATTGACAATTAATAATAAAAAAAAAACCTACGCATGATCAGTAAATGTCTTTATCCTTGTGTTGTCATCCTTCACATTTTTCTATCTAAGTTGCTCACCAAATGTTGGATAGTTTGAAGGTCATTCATTAGAGTAAAACGTTTATTTAAGAGAATTGAACAAATTTACTTTACAGTTAATTTAAAAAAAAAAAAGATTTCAATGCCTGTGCTGAATAATAATAATGTTCCATTGGGATTATGAGGCAAGTATGGATTGGTGTGAGCAGAAACATGGTATAGGCAACAATGTGACTATGAAGTAATATAAAGTAAAGGCTGGCTATTCGTATCCGAGGATAGCTAGCCAATCCCTGTTGCAGGCCCTCGGTCACGATGACTTGGAACTTGGGCTAACACAACCATCGACGGCTCCCAAGTATTTCCGTCTACCCAATTTCATTTACAATGCTTGGGTCAACTCCTGGTATGGTTTTCCGGCACTTCTTAAAGGTGCCGTACGCTGTGATCACCTTCCCGATAAAATCGACCATGGTAAGATTCGAAACCAGATCTCATGGTCAGAAACCGAAAGTTCTAACCACTTGGCCACATGCACACAAGTATTATATAGCGTTACCTCAGTCCATATATTATGGACGGCTGGTACATTGGTTCCGTCGCCAGCAAAACTTGCTGTTTGCATATCAAATAATAATAATAATAATAATAACAACCGTATTCTGGTAGTGACGTTTATTTTAATTTAACAATTAATAAAGCCTTTTTTAATATATCTCTACAGTAAAATAATTTATAATGAATTTCTATAGTAAAATACCATATATATGTTTATTTTAAATACAGCTGTACTTTTTGACTACAGTAAATGAATATATAGTTTGGTCAACAGCGTAGCCAGGACCAGTAGTGCATGTGCTAATTTCACATCTCGTGTATGATGCGACCTCCTTAAAATTAGCTTCAAAATTAGATCTTCAAAAGTCGCATGATACGCGAGTATTTATAGTAATTTAAAGTACATTTCTGTAGTAAAATACTTTATACCGTATTTTTCAGAATATGACACGCACCCGTATTTTGTCGTTTTCTGTTTTGCATATTTTTTTTAATCATTTCACTCCAAGCAAGGCGGGAAGGTCACTAGTACGCAGGGGTGAAAGTGAGAGAAAAAACTGAGCATAGGGTGGATTGAGGAAAGGACAAAAGATGAAAAGGATTCAAGGAGATAGAAGGTTGACATTGCATTTACATTTTCGAAGACTGTAGTTATCAGGGAAGCAGGTAAACGAAAGGAATTTCCACAGGCGGGAAGTGCGAGAAAAGATACTGTTAAAGTTGAAGTTGAAGTGGCGGTTGCATTTAGCTATTTCAACAATAAAAGGGTGGGACCGAGCCAATTACTTTTAAAATTCGATGTGATTGTTATATAGAGTACGACAGAAATATCTCGCTTATATGCCTCCCAGAAATACCTCTTACTGTTTTACCCTTATCTGGGAGGCATTTCTGCCCCACCCTGTAGTGATGTTATCAGCAGGTGACTGGTAAGCTGGATTCATCATTGACTAAATGTGGCAACAGTTACTGAATATATTGAAAACCTCAGTTATTATTATTATTATTTATACTAAAGTTCAATTAATACAAGGCTCGTGAACCATTCACTATAAAAGGTTATTATTAAAATGGTTACGGTGAATGTGTATTATACGAGTGAAAGAAGAAATGATAGAAAGTGGCGATTATGTGGACAAGGAAGATACATTACGTGACTTGAATTTCTAACTTTAAAGAAGGATTTCTTTAGTAGAATTTGGAACATTTTTGTAGTTAATGTTTACTACAGTTAATTATTTAATATTTAATATGAAGTTTTATAGGCGTGTTTTATGTTGGCAAAAATCTTATTGTCAAGCGGAATACGCACTTAATCAATATGGACACAGATTACACTGTGATCCGTGATGTGGCAGGTTAACCTGCAGGTTAGATTAGTAGTTATACATTCAACGATTGTGTAGAAATTTGATCAAAGAAAATTTAGAGAAAAAATGATAATATAGAGTGTTTATCTTTTAACTAGTTATTTGTTTATGCAAGAACTTAATTTGGGAAAGGTGTTGTATATCTCCCTCTCTTCTGGGGATCATTTAGTTGGGGAGGTCGATTGCATTCTTCTCTGTCGGCCGTCTTCACTAGGTCGTGTGGCCGTTAGTTGGTTTGTTCGGAGGTAAAATAAGAGCTTCAACAAAAAGGATTTTAAATTTATCTATCTATCTATCTATCCTCGAGGTGTACATTTTTGAACTAGTCAGTGGGGTCGCTCTATCAGCCCCACTGGGGAACAAGTTCCCCGAGACACAAAATAACCACATCTAATGTGTATGACGTGTAAAAACTTAACTCACTGAAAGCACTAACATTCCCACGTTCAGCTCAGCCAATTAAAATCGACATCCCTATTTTGTCTACCAGCTGACCTAAAGGTCACGTCTCAGAAGGTCTGAGCCAAATACAGTCAGTCAGTTATGTGCCATGTGTGATACACGCTTTGGCGATCATGTATCTTTCGATACATAACTGACGAGGTAGATTTTTCCCGAAGTAGTTTGCCATTTTTTTCTGCGGTAGGACCAGTTGCCATCCAAGGCTATAGAACCCAGGTCCTTCCTGCTATTTATCCATAGCTGGGGAGGAGAAGAAGAGGATTCATACCTTTCCCAAGGGTATTAGCACGTAGGTGAATGTAATAAATTCGACTGGAATTCGAATTCGGCTCTCCGATTCCTCAATCCTAACCGCTATTCATTCTCCCACAGTAATAGTCTGAAACTATTATTTAACATTCTTTACCTAGCCATCAAAAAATTCATTTATGAATTTTATTTCATCTACATTATATTTAACAAAGTTGGAGTAAGGAATCTATAAACTTGCTTTCAAATATCGGTTTAAAATGTAGCCATTGCTAAAATGCAACCATGCTCATTGTTCGTTTTTCTCTCCCACTCTCTCAAATTCTTAGGCCCGCTTTTGCAATTATGAGAGTAAAAGATTTTATGTATCTCTATCTATAAAAGGCAGTGTGTGTGTGTGTGTGTGTGTGTGTGTGTGTGTGTGTGTGTGTGTGTGTGTGTGTGTGTGTGTGTGTAACGAATGCATGGCCGCAATTTTTTGCACCAAAATTTACATGCACATGCTCCAAGATTGCGGGAAGGCCAAGACCGACTTTGCATTTCCCAACTCCAAACGATAGTGGAAATAATCGATTTTTTCATTCTTCTACGACAGTTTTCATATTGTTTGTGGCCATTTTCTACTGGCCAGAGTGAGAGCCAATAACTGGCTGCCACGAATAGACAGGAAGATTCTACTGGCCAGCGTGAGAGCCAACAGCTGACTGACACGAATGTTAAATAGCATGCTAGCATGCAAAAAAAAAAAAAAAGATAGCTGCATTCGTCACAAGTGGAAAAAATTTAAATCTGCATGGAATTTTACTCCAATTGGCTCATTCGCTTGGTTAAACTCAACGTTGATTCTGATTCCGCAGAACTGGGTTGGGTGTGAAAAAGTATTTGTTGTTAACATTCTTTTTTCATTCGGTTCTTCAAGTTACGAGTCCTTTTTTAAAGCTGATCCTTTTGTGTTCATTTTGTTTAGTTCTTTTTTCGTAACAAATTTAATGTTTAGTATAGAGCTTAGAAAAAATTCGCAGTGTGAGATAGGCAAGAAGTAAGGCATGTAGCAACATCAGCACAGCAAAGGGCACTCCTTTAAAGGCAAGGAAGGGCAAAAATATTTTAAGTCAAGTGATAGCGATTGCTGCATGAGTCGTACGATTTTTGAATCAAGCACGGGCAACGCCGGTCCATGCTGCTAGTTTGTTTAATAAAATAACAGCTCATGTTGCGGCCTACAAAAACATTTCGTTATAAAGAGCTTCTTCTTCATTTATATGTCATGTCCTTTCAGACCATGGCCAATTATGACTCTCCACAATTTCCTGTCTTTTGTTTCTTTAAGTAACGTTTCTCCTTTTTTATTCTTCTTCTATCAAACAAAAACTCATCAAGAAGGTATCTCACTGTATTCTCCTGCTTCTCTTCCCTTCGTGTGAGTATTTAATTCTCCAAGCCCTCTTTCCTCATTATGCGTTCTAGAAGATTTCAAACACAAAGAGTAACAATATTTGTTTTCAATATATAAAATAACTCTGTTTAGTTTTTACTCTTAAATGTCCAATGTCCGTAACAAGCACATAAATGGTTTAAGTGTTTGGATTTCTTTTCTAGATTCGGGCTAGCACCAACAGTGGCTGGAGTTCATTTTCCGGGTATGAAAAAGTAAAGACGAAAGAAGGTCCTCCTTCAGCCCCTAGACAAATCAGATGGATTCACAGAAACATGACATGTCTTACATTGGCCTGGTCACCACCAGACAACATCAACGGCATCCTCAAAAATTATGAAGTAAGGACACTGCCACTAAATTTGGCAAATTGTAATTAGAGTTTTACGTATCTAGATATAATTTAGGAATATACTGATCGAAATGTAATAGTAAAAAATTAAAAACAATTAATGTAGAAAAAAAACGAACAAAAATACTTTTATACTGTTTTACGAAATATTAAACTAGCTACTTGAATTCTAAGAATAATTTTATTAGGTTGTCCCAAAAGTTCGTAAACACTTGCGAAAAATTGAATTATTATGCAACACAATCCAGCACAATTGAGACAAGCGATGGGTTCAGAAAGTGCAAGAGACACCGTCGGTTCCAAAACAAGATAGATTCGTCAAGAAAGACATGTTGTGCGTTTGGTGGAACTTTGAAGGAATCGTGCATTTTGAGTTGGTTCCGAATGGTCGTGCCATCAGTGCCGAACTTTACTGTCAGCAACTGGAGCAGGTCTACGAAAAGTTGAAGCAAAAGTACCCGGCTCTGATCAACCGAAAGCGCGCTTTGATGCAGCAGGACAATGCCAAGCCACACACCGCCAGGAAGACCAAAGACAAGTTTGAAGAGCTGGACGGCGTTGAGGTTCTGCCCCATCCAGCCTACAGTCCTGACTGTGCTCCATCAGATTACGGCCTTTTCCGCTCAATGCAACACTTTCTGAAGGGCCGCCGATTCGACTCGTTTGATGAAGTCGAGGAAGCGTGTTCAAGAATTCTTTGATTCGAAGCCGGCTGAATGGTACTTTCACCAGATCCGAAAGCTTGCAGATCGATGGCAGAAAGTCTTGGAAAATGATGGTCTTTATTTTGAGGAATAAGTTTTGTTATTACTTGGCGCGTAAAATTTCAATTTTTTGCAAGTGTTTACGAACATTTGGGACAACCTAATAGTATGAGATATGCATTGACCATTTTGCTTTGCAAAGGCCAAGGTTAAGAAGGTGTATATACCGCACCGATATGAAGTTTTCAATTCAGTGTACTCTTTGGTGAATTTATTTCATGAATATTCTAGGAAATACAGTGTAACCCGGATATAAGAGACCCGGATATAAGAGGAAACCCGGATATAAGAGAGATTTTCTCTGATCCCAAATTAGAGCCATACTTACCTAAACAAAATAGACCAAACCCGGATATAAGAGAAACCCGGATGTAAGAGACTTCTTCTCCGGTCCCGACAACTCTCTTATATCCAGGTTACACTGTAACAACAACTCTCAATAAACAAGTTTTATAGCAATTTCATCAGCAGAAGATACTTAAAAAGTCTTTTTTTTTTTTTTTTACATTATCAGCCTCTTTAAATTCTATTTTTATATTGGTTAAAGTTCTTTCTACATCATCAATCTCTTTAAAGTTTTTTTTTTCATTTAGATTGCCAGCCACTTTAAAGTATTTTAATAAAGTATTTTTATTTATCCTCCCTCTCATCCTGTCCAGGCTTGATACTGCCTTACGGTTAACACTGAAGAGGTAGTTAACCCGGATATCAAACTGGAGAGAAAAGTTCAGCTTTGCCATCGGCGTTGACACAAAATGGAGAGTAGCAGTCTATCGGTTATAAGTCATGGATCAGTTGGAGTAGAGCTTCGCGCCAGGGATTGCTCCCGACGGTGGGAGGAACTCTCGGTTTGCATTGGACAGCTGTCATCCGCCTCAAGCTGAGTATCCCCCAGTCAGAAAGAGGCTGTCTGCTTTCCTCATTGGGTGCATAGGAACTAGGAAAAATCTGACCGGCATGATTGAGAATTTTGCACCAAGCAAAAGGAAACAAGAACAAAAGAGACCAGCTCTAAAACTGAGAACTTGAAATCTCCGGGCCTTACCTCAGAGTCATTTGCGATGCCAGGAAGACAGCCATTATAAATGTTGAGTTCAAAAGACCTTAACATGGATATAGCCACCCTTCACGAAACTCGTCTGACCGAAGCGGGCACACTGAAAGAGAATGACTATACATTCTATTGGCAGAGGAAGAGCTCAGATGAGCCCAGGGAACACGGAGTGGGCTACGCCGTGAAGAACCCCTTGCTGAAGAAGGTGAAGCCAGACAGCAACGGTTGTGCATAACTCCTCACCCTTCGCCTCAACACTACTGAAGGTCCCCTTGTCAGTGTTTATGCACCCACTCTAAATGCCTCAACTGAAGAAGGATTTTTATGAGAACCTTACAACCACAATCGGAAACATCCCCAGCAGGAATCCTACTGGGTGACTTCAATGACAGAGTCGGCGCTAATCATGAGTTCTGGCCATCTTGCCTTGGACCATTTGGTGTGGGAAAAATGAAAGAAAATGGTCAGCAGCCGCTCGACACAACAGTGCATCACTAACTCATACTTCCAGACAAAACGCCAACACGTTTTTCTGGTGACACCCATGCTCGAAGCATTGGCATCAGCTGGACCTGATCTTGACCAGGTGCACCTTACTCGAGAATGTATTACTAACCCGTTCCGAGCAGAATGCGGACTGCGATAGAGTCTATTCTCTGGTGTGTTGCAGGACCAGCATGCAGCTTGTTGTAGGGAACGAACTGATAAGCCTCAGTATACAAAGAATTGATACACCTCTACTAAATGGACTGTTCCAGTAGTAATATAAGCATCTTTGTCGATGGTCTCAGGTGGGCATCTTTCCAGCTTCAGACAAACTTCTAAATATCTACTTGTATTGTTCTTGTTTAAAACAAGCCCTTATACTTTGAAAGTTGCCATTCTAGTTAATATTTTTAATAACCACCCCGGACAACATTAGAAAACAGCTGAAGAAATTATACCGTGCCAGACAGCAAGGAAAGGCCCGCATTGACACAAGCAATAGAACTCGTGGAACAGTTTGCTGCCACCCTCGAAAATGGAACTTGGCATCTTGCGGTCCAGAATGTTGGCACCACAGAAGTGGGAAGAACTGCGAAACACCATCTATCGCATAACCCTGGCCACGTTTAGGAAGAAAACCTCTAAATTTCATGACTGGTTTGATTCAAAGTCCTTTGAGATGACACGCATCATTGCAGCCAATCCCGTCGCTCTCGCTGAGTACAAGAGGACACATAACGAAAAGATCCTTCAGATTCTTAGAACTGCACAGAACATGTTCAACAGGCGGTTCGACGCTGCACCAATGCGTATTGGATCCAGCTCAGTGAAGACATCCAGACTGCTGCCATCATGGGGGACATCAAAGAAATGTATGATGGTATTAAGCGGGCACTTGGGCTAACCCAGATTAAGTCAGCTCCCCTCAAATCTTCCACTGGGGAAGTAATCAGAGCCAACAGATTGAGAGATGGGCGGAACATTATTCTAACCTCTACACGAAACAGAACACCGTGTCTGTGTCAGTCCTCGATGCCATCAAATGCTTACCAACCATGGATGTACTGGATGCTAAATCAACGTTAGGTGAGCTCAGCAGGGTCATTGACAATCTGGCTGCGGGAAAGGCACCAGGCAGTGATGGAATACCACCTAACCTGATCAAGCACTGCAAGACAGCCCCTACTTCTCCCATTGCACGAAATTTTCTGCCAATGCTTTGAAGTAATATATATATATATATATATATATATATATATATATATATATATATATATATATATATACACTAGTATCCACTATAATAACATTTGAAAGAATATATATATATGTGTGTGTGTGTATGTGTGTGTGTGTAAGAGAGAGAGAAAGAGAGCGAAAGAGAGAGAAAGTCTGTGAGGGAGATTACCTCCTTACTTGGCACAATCGCAAAGTGCCCTGCAAATAACACCTGCTAAGCATGGCACAACAGTATATACATATTTTTATCTTTATCTCTCCCTCTTTTCTTTTGTCTACCTACCTCCCTGTCTCTCTCTCTCTCTTTTCTCTTTAAATATATATATATATATATATATATATATATATATATATATATATATATATATAGAGAGAGAGAGAGAGAGAGAGAGAGAAGAACGTAAAGAGATAGTGTGGACATAGAAGTCGACACTGAATAATGGCTGTCCGTTTCACACTTCAATGCAGTCTTCAGGCTTTGATTTGGAGATAGTATTGAAGTGTTTTTCCAATATTCACACTGTCTATATCTATAAACGCCATTCTCCGATATTGAGGCCTGACTCCTTCTAAATATAGAAAAGTGATTTTGATAAGTAATATTAAAAATATTCCTTTTCTGTCTCCACAGGTCAGTCGAACGGAAATTTTCTCCTACACGAAAAGCACACAAGATTCCAATGTAGTAAAGATAAAACTAAACAACCGACCTACGTACCAAATGTGCAACCTTCTTCCTGCAACTCACTACGAATTCACTATCAGAGCGGCCACTGTCGGTGGACAAGGGTACAGCAGCAAACCGGCTATTTTCTGGACGGAGATTATGTCACCAGCTTCTCCCCCACGCCCCACAATTGGTAAAATATCTTACACTAGTGCCGACATTACGCTTCAGTCGGTCGTAACTTACACGGGACCGGTAAGTTGGTATGAAGTTAGGCTGCAAGAGGTGGCTACGGATAATGGAGAGAGTTTTAAGGAAAGGAAAAAGAGAGATACTCAGAAGACATCGTTTGAACTTCAAGCAACTGACTTAACTGCTGTACTCACTCCACAACTTGTAGGTCATTCTATTGTCTTTACTGTTGGCGATAACAAAACCTATGGAAACGTTCGTAATAAGCCGTTGTCAAACCGAAAAAGTTATCGCATTTATTTCGTGGTTTATAGCAGTCTTAACAATGTTTTAAAATGGAACGCTTCCAGTACGGAGTTTCCTTTACATCTTCTTTCAGAAGATGTGAAACAAAAAAACATTTCAGTTGTGGTGTTGGTAGTAATTATTCTGGCAATTGCGTTGCTTTTAGTTCTTCTGTTACTCGTTTTCTGTTACAGATGCCGTAGGAATCGTAAGAATACTTATATTGACCACGTGAACAAAACCCAAGAACAGAAAGATGACGAGCCACTTGAAAAATATTGGAATACAACTTATTCAACTGATGAAAGTCGTTTTATTGTTGTAAACATAGATTTCCTGCCAGTGAAACCATCAGCACCGCATTCAGCCGTTCCGGATAAACCTTCCATTTCGTCCATAAATAAACAGTTGCCATCAAATCAGGAGACCAACTCGGTTTCAAATCCAGAAAGAAATAACAAAACCTGCCCAGTCACTTTCAGGGAGGAATTTGAAATTCTTAACAAACTGCCAAGACCGAAATATTCGTCTAACGAAGCACAGAAAGTAGAAAACGCCAAATTAAACAGATTCACACGCTTGCTTCCATATGATCACAGCCGGGTGCAGTTAAAACCAGACTCATCTTCGTCTAACACGTATATCAACGCCAGCCAAATAACAATACCTGGTTACAATACTACGAAAACAACGAGTCGCTTTACGCGTACTTATATCGCAGCGCAGAGTCCTTTTAATTCAGAAACAATGCGAGACTTCTGGCGAATGATATACCAACAAGAAGTCCGAGTTGTGGTTATGCTAACAAAACATGTCGAAGATAAAATCATTAAGTGTTCGGAATACTTTCCGAAGGTTGTTGACCAATCGTTCACATTCGATAAGTTTGTAATGCGGGTAATTAACGTGGACAACCATGCTGACTTTAGCATAACGGAAATATTGCTGGAGTTGGTGGGTGGGAAACAAATGATCTTGTACATATTCAGGCTGTTCAAATGGCCCGAGAAACGAGCTGCCTATTCTACAGCTTTGATCGATATGCGAAGAAAGGTAAGAATAATATTATTTGTCATCTTACAACTAGCATTTACTTTTATTTTTTTGTAAATATTCAGTTGGAATAAAGGCTTGCAGCATTTTTCAGTAGGCGGTGTTTGGACACGTGATTTTGTTTCACATGCCACTGAAATCATGACATCTCAATTTTAGCTAATTCCCTTTGATAACTCAAGTCTCCAAGTTTGTTCTCTCTGCTGAGACCAGAGATTTAACGCACAAATCTTTGGATCAGTGAACCAACGTTTTATCCATTGGGCCATATCTCCTTGGGGAGAAACAAAAACATGGAGTTATCAAAGGGAATTAAATAAAACTGGGATATCCGAAGGCATGGTACATGGAATTAGAACAATCTTCCCTAGTAGACTAAATAAAGGGTTCGTTTCGAAATTCCAACCAATATCACCTGAAGAAGGCTGGAGTGTCCGATGCCGAAGCGTCGTGAATGTGACAGCAAAGATGAGCAGAACTGTCTGAACAATGTAAATAGTGTAAATTCTTACATAATTTATAAAACCTTCGTATACATAAATATGTCTTCATTTACCGTATACTTATTATCTGCTATTATTGTCTGTTGTTTATTCGAAATAAGTTGTACCTTAAACATGAATTCCCTAAAAATGTCTCATCTCAAATAGTTATTGTTAAAATTCAATTAAATTATTCTTTCAGGTTCGCCAGTTTTCGGATAATTTTCCACACAACCCTATACTAGTTCATTGTGGGACTGGAAACGGCCGTACTGGGACATTCATTGCTATTGATATCCTTTTGAACGAATATAACCAACACGGAAGCGTCAATGTGTTTAACATCGTAAAGCGCATGCGCGAATGCAGACCGTATATGGTACGGACATTCGCACAATATCTTCTCATCTACGACGCCATTTTTGAAGCGTGTCAAGCCGGTGATCTTTCCTTTCTTAGTCTATCGGACCTCGATGCCAAATGTAAACAACTCAATACGACCAACTGGAAGACATCCAGAACTTACCTTGAAGATCAGTTCACCCTTTTATGCTTCTTGACTCCCAGACCAAACATAGATCAAATACGAACAGGTCTGTTACCACAGAACAGTGACAAACACAGATACCCTGACATTATCCCACCAGATGAATTTCGTCCTCAACTGACAAGTTGCTTAAATGAAAATCCAGTTGAAACTGATTACGCTATGTATATAAATGCCGTGTTTATAGATGGATATAAAAAGAAAGGTGCTTACATTGTCACTCAGACACCTTTGTCGAGCTCTTTAGTAGAGTTCTGGTGTCTCATTTACGAATATGACGTCAGAACAATTGTTATGATGGATTCAAACACGAAAGGTGACACTTGCATCTCGTATTGGAAACATCCAACATCTTTCAAATATTTTACTGTAACACCAGAAGGAAAAACTGTGAATGGTCGCAGTACAGTGCATCGTCTCGTTCTGAGAAGAAAAGATGTCAATGAAGGGGCAGCGAGAGTAGTTCACCTCTTCCGATTCAAAGGTCGTCAGAGTTCCAATTTAGTTCCAGTAGGCAGAGATCATATGCTAGATTTGATCGTTGATGTGAACAAGTGGCAGGAGAACAAACAGCGTAGGCCAATTGTGGTACATTGTAAGGACGGGGCTACCAATGCTGGACTATTTTGTACCAGTGACCTTCTCATACAAGAAATGATCAATGAAAATTGCGCTGATGTCTATCATACTGTAAAGAAGATGAAAATTCGAAGACCAGAAATGATTCCAAATCTGGTAAATATTTTTATACACACACGCGCACAAACACACACACACAAACACCTGCATACATATAAACACACACACGCACGCGCGCACAGAAACACACCGTATATACTCGTGTAAATGTCGAAAGTTGTAATTTTATTGGGGATTTAAAAATGGATATTACAAATGTCAAATAAACCCATAAAAAACTGTATCCGTCTAAAAACAATGAATTTTGTACTCGTTTTGTGTTAGTTGTAATATTTGTTAGGTGTAATTTTGTTACGTTTTGTGACAAGTGTAATTTGTGTAAGGCGTAATTTGTGTTAGGTACAATTTTTGTTATGTTTTGTTTTAGGCGTAATTTGTGTTAGGTGGAATTTATGTTAGTTGCATTTTGTATTAGGTGCAATTTGTATTAGGTGTAATTTGTGTTAGGTGCAATTTTTGTTAGATTTTGTTTTAGGTGTAATTTGTGTTAGGTGCATTTTGTATTAGGTGCAATTTGTATTAGGTGTAATTTGTGTTAGGTGAAACTTTTGTTAGATTTTGTTTTAGGTGTAATTTGTGTTAGGTGTAATTTATGTTAGGTGTAATTTCGTATTAGGTGCAATTTGTATTAGGTGTAATTTGTGTTAGGTGAAATTTTTGTTAGATTTTGTTTTAGGTGTAATTTGTGTTAGATTACACTGTAACTGTTTCCAGTGCCCTCTCTTCCCGAAAACTAAAGACTGAATAAATAATAGAATATGCTTGGGCAAATATGGACAAACATGATCGCAATAAGACGTAGTATCAAAAAGAGGGTTTTCCCATGACACCGCTTTTTTATTTAACTACCATCACTCCTGGAAAATGTCTGATTATTAAAATTGGAATAACAACTAAACATATGATGAAAGTGAATTTATACATTTTTTTTTGTCGTTCTGGAGAATTTGCAACAAAATAGTAAACGTAGCTTAACATTTGAAAATGGCTACAAGTATGGGAAACTCTTTGAGAATCGAAATTACAGTTTATTTATTTCTCATACTGGTAATTATAAAATACATAAGTTCAATCAATTTTAAAGATATTTTATGAAATATCGAACGATGAGTATCAGAATAACTGATTAAATGTTTTCAAATTTGTTAACATTACGAGACTATGTAATGTAATAACAATGCATCGTATCATCATAATGTATATGTAATGTAACCAGATATCATCACGATTATCATTAAAAACTTTATCATAAATGAATATCACAATAAGTACAATAATTTTTACAACATTTTTCTCACAGTATAATCTGTGCTCCCTAACCTGATTATTTTTCTGATTATGGTGTAGGTAAGTGTTCTATGAGTGCTTTCTAGTCTTAATTTTTCCTTTGTCTGAAATGTGCATTAATTTGCTTTTTTGAATTACATAAAAAGAAAACTGGTCAGCCATTGAAATCACTTTGATCTGTTTTATTTTGTAACTTTTTGGGAACTATTTACAAATATATAAACTCTTTAGTTTAAGCCTAAGAAAATATTTTTCTTTATTTCAAAATATTTATATTTTGGTGCTGATTTTTATTCTTTTTTTTTTCGATATCTTTACAGGAACAATACAAGTTTTGCCACAGTGTTATTCAACTCTATGCTAGTCGCCAAAAACCATGAAGAATAAAAGAGATCCTTAAATGCAAATGAACCTGGACATTGAATGCAGCTATTATTTAAATACTTGCGCAGAAATGGAAGAAATTTGAAAACTTTGCGTTATGAGACAACTCTTTTAATATCCCATAAAACAAATAAGAAAAATATATAAGGGAGATAACTCCGTACAATTTTTCTACATGACTATTTTGGTTATGATAAACCAAAACAGTAATGTAGCAAAATTTTGAATTAAATTCTTTGTAGTGTCTCCAGAAGAGTAATGCATTGGTCTCACAGATCATCACTATTGTGGCTTTGTGACAAAACTAAGCTTGATAAGCATTAAAAAGGTCAGTGCAAGGAACCCTTACACAAAATATCCTTGAATAATAATGAATATCTTGGTCTTAAATTTACTAT